TTTTTTTTTTGGAAGGGTCGCTGGGTTTGCTCTGTATTTGGCCAGGATGCGCAGAGTTTACCATCTCTCTCTCCCCCTCTCTAAAATGTGCGTCAGAGAGCTACAGCCGCCCCCTCAGTTTAATGTAATTACCGAGATGTGCGCCTCTTAAGCAAATTAAACGATGAACATTCCCACATTCACGACAACACAAACCACCACAGACCAGGATGTCGGTCAAAGTCAGTGTGCCTATTCATGGTGTATTACAGTGCTTAGCAGTGATAGATTGCATGCACGGCCAGCAAAATGATGCTGGAGCCCTGCTAAAGATTGTTTTCAGCATTGCATGAAGGACAGCTACTACAGTGTTTGTTGCTTTAGTGAATCTTTGTGCACAATTAGAAAGAGAGTATCTGCCTAAGGAAGCATCAGAGAACACCTGCTGGCTGTGTAATCCTCTTTTTCCTTATTTCTAGCCCTTCCATCCTCCTTTCAGAGCCCCAAACCCACAGCCCCTCATCCAGCACCCCTCCTTCATCCTACTGCTGAACGCATCAGCTCAAAGGCACACAGTTCACATCTGTCTGGATCTGATATGGGGATGGGGAATCCTTAAAAATGTGCACATCTGGCCTTACAGTTATGCTGGCATTCAGAAGTGCATTTTCCACCCTATGAATTAGTCAGGACAGTGGAATATCTGGAGAATCCATGCTAGTCAAATGTTATGAATTTAAACCTGTTTTGTATTTTTGTTTGGTGGGGGGGGGGGAGATACTGTAAGTAATTTTCCAGACGAGGCTGATTTTATTTTGATGGTGATAAACAGCACAGGATTAAATTCATGGCAAATAATGTGAGCATCTTTTTAAAAAAAAGAAACCCTGCACTGATTACCAGATGTAATTCAAAGATTGTGCATATTAAGCAAAAGTCAAGAGGCAGATGCAAAAAAGCAGAGAGTGTGTGTATCTTTGTGTGTGAGAGAGAGAATTGAGAGTACAGCATAGCACCTGGATTTAGTTGTAATTCCACAGATTTTTGAGTTAGTAGTAAGTGTGGGTCTCCCTTTGAATGTGGCTTTTGCGAGCCTGACTTTCTTTGGTGTGGGAGTTTATGTGTTCGTGTGCGTGTCGGTTTGTTAGAAAACACCGATGCAGAAGAAAGAATTTACACAAACACACAGGAACATGCAAAAGTCTTGAACCACCCTGCATTTTGTCATATTTTGTTTTCAGGAACCAAACGTTGTTGTCATTTTAAAGTGGTCGAGTGATAGTTCTCCAGATTTTCTGAAGGTCTTTCATAGGTTTTCTTTGGACATTGGTTGCTTTTTCACTAATTTTCAGTCCAATCCTTGTACCTGACTATTAAACAGAAAAAAGGCACATTACTTGTGTTTGTGTCCATAGATAACAATTTAGCAAAGAACTGATTCACTGTCATACTCGCTGCCTGTTGGAAAAATACATAATTTGTTCCCATTTCTTTAGTTAATTTATGAAAAATACCAAACATAACATAGTTTGATAGTAGTTAAAGTTTCAACCAGTGTGATTCTAAATGATCCCAAACATCTTTGGGAAGATCTTTTTGGTTCATTTGCTGTAATCCTAAAGATTACAGGAGATGACCAGTTTTTGAAAAAAAATCCTGACACATGACCTCAGAGATGAGTCTGACCTGTCAGTTGAGCCATCTACTGTTCAAGCCTCATCAGATATGATCTCATTGGAGGGGTGGTCGTCAGGAAGCCATTTTAAAGGAGGGAAACAGAATAAAGGGTGAGGTATGCCAAATTACACAAGAACTGGACTGAAAATCGGTGGCAACAGGTCATATGGAATCTAGATTTCCATAAGTTTGAACTGTTTCTGGATGTCAGGAGGAGTATCTACAGTGATATGTAAAGTACAGTTGAGGCTCTGTTGTGATTTGGTGTTTTGGAGATATGGTCAAAACTGATGGAATTACAAATACAGAAAACCACCATCAGAGTTCGATTCACCATGCAATACCATCTAAAATGTATCTGATCAGCAACAGCTTCACTTTCATCATGAAAATGATCCCAACTGAAGCAGTGTGGGATCTTTTAAAAAAAGAATCTACTTAAAGATATTACAAGAAAGCTTATCTAACAGAGTTCAGGCTATGTTGAAGAACAAAGGCGGTCGTGCCAAATCGCTCATCAGAGCTGTACAGACTCTGTTTTTGCCTTATATACTGTATTTGCATTTATGTTTGAGCATAAATCACTGTGCCTATTTCTTATTTTCCCAGGAAAATAGAAAGAAATACGCAGTGGCATGAGACACTTGCACAATACTGTATTTCTCTAGAAAGTATTTTTTGAGAATACTGTTGCTTAATCATGCAGCAAATTTGGCAACTTGGCAACAATTAAGTGAACTAAATGATGACGCTCACTGCTGTGAGTATATGAGATGGTAGGCGTTCACGCTGCTGTGTTTGTATTTCCACATTTCATTAAAAAAACGTATATACAGTATGTCCATTTGCACACGTTTGCACCCATTTGCCATTTTCCTTGGAAAATACAATAAAATCAGGAGTAGCTCAAAACTTCTGCACGGCCCTGTGTGAAATGATCTTGAATCATCTCTTTCCTACTAGGATTTATTTTCACTGCTCTGTAAACTGGACGTGGCGCTCACTTTGCCTCGTACTCAGGATGACCTTTGACTTCTGCGCTGAAAATACTCAGCCAGCTTTAAGTAAAACCCAGCTGCATTTTATCTGCCGCTGGATGGCTCAGGGCTTCCTGCTGTTTAAAGTCCATTTCTCTGTAATGGTCCTGACTGCTTTTTAGATCATCTCAAAGAGCTAATAGAGCCTTGAATATTTGGGCATGAAGCTCCTTAGTTTTTGGTCTTTAGGTTAAAGGTGACCAAGCTTTGATGTTCAGAATCGTGAAGTCTGCCCTGGCTGTGAAGGTCAGAGTGTTTACTTTAGTACTGTCCTTAACAATGACTTTAAAACCTTATCAAAGGTCAAAAATAAGAACTCCAGCTTTTTTCCCTAATATTAACTCTTTTTCTTTCTTAATGCTCACACACATAAATGATTTATGAGCATCTGGTGATCTCATTTATTTTGTCACAAAGATATTTTGCACTTAAAGGCTTCATAATGTTAACTGCAATAAGTGCTGCTACTACTTTTTGATCAATATCTCATTTGCTTTAAGACCTAAATACATCCTCCAGGATTTGCCCATGCGTGACTGTAAATGGGATAATGACACATCAGATGACTTAACAAAGAAATGGAAGTAATGCCATAAACACAGCTTGCTCAAAATCAATGAAACTAACAGACCGAAACAACATTTTCAGAGGTTAGACATAGTAGGATGTCTTATATCAATAATGCTTTATATTGTAAATGAGAAGAACAGGTTTTAAATAATGCATAAATCAGCTGTCATGCTGACATAATTTCAACAATAATTTCAGGTCTCACAACAAGCAGGTTCTTCACATTTCCTCGTACTGTCCTTTTATGTCTTCTTGTGTCCTCCAGCTGCGTATTTAATTAAACTTTAGCTGTAGCTGAGTTTTCAGGCTCATCTCTAGTCGATGTAGCTTCGGTCTTGTCGTGGCCTGCTGTAACTGAAAGCGATGAATGTTATATTACTCACTGCTTACTACAGCCCTGCCCTTTGCCGCTTTGGTTGCACACATCTCCATTACTTAGCTCTCCATTACATTATTATGCCAACCGTCTGTGCCAAAGATCACATGGGACGTTTACTCAGTGCCCTGCTTAGTGTTTCAGATTTATTTTTCTTTGTCGGTTTATCCCAAGTGAAAACAGAGATAGTCCAAACTTCCACTTTTGCAGAGAAATTGTGCAGATCATGATTTTGATTTCCTCAAGAGGGCGGTGTAATCAAACCCAACCACAGATTTTATGTTTCACAGTTTCACTTGTTTGACTGGGAGTAATTTGGCATTTCTGGGATTTCGGACTCGTAGCTTCCAGCTTTCTCACAGTATATGGCCTGTAGGCTAAAAAAAAAAACTGTCCTGTAACTGCTGACCTGTAAGTGACTTTGCTATGGCGCTTTTTTCACACCCTCTCTTACCTCACCTGCCGATTATTACCTCCCTAAAATAAATTCAGGTGACAGCTTGGGTCCTCAGGTCTTGGTAAACCATTATTCTGCAAATCTGGGTCAAACTATGGCTTCTCTACTTCCACTCACTTCTTTCCACACATTTATCCCCTAGTTTCGTTACTCTGTGGCAACTTTCAGTCACATATTAAAGACTTCAGCTTACTATATCTGCTACATGGTAGATTTATTTAGATGTATTGGTATGTGAAAGGAGTGTTAGCAGGGAAAGTGGGTGATGTATATCTGTCATGTGGTCTAAATGTGATGGTGTGGGTTTATTCTTCAATGG